AGAAATGTTCTTAAAATTACCAAAAAAGGCAATTTTTAAGAACTGATGGTTTTACGGGAAAGAGTTTTTTTTTTTTTCTTTATTTATAGTCAATTTCATTTTTCATTTTAATTTTTTACATTTAAAAAATCAAAAGAATTTGCAAAATTTCCTGGAATGGTAGGCATAGTCGCTACTTAGCCTTATCTAGTATTTTAATATTGATTTTGAATTTTTTTATATAATAGTTAGATATTGATAAGTAGGCAAGCTAGTATTTAACTCTTCAGAAATAATAAGAGAGATGTTGTTTCTTTCAATAATATATACCCTGTTATATACAAATCAAAATAAAAAAATGATATTTATCTACTGGAAAAATCCCCCCAAAAAAAAAATTTTTTTTGTTATTATTAATATTTTTATTATAATAATTATTTTTGAATCATAAGGCTATAAGAATATTTTTAAAAATTTCAAAAATTTCAAAATTAATTATTATAATTAATAATAATAATAATAAATACCAATAAAATATTTATATGCAAAAAATAATATTTTTGATTGAAATAGAAACAATATACTGTAAATATATTTTAAATATATAAGGATAAAATAAGAATTTTCCAAAAACCATATAAATATATGCGGTATGATGTATATTCTAATGTTTATTGAATTTTAAAAATAAAATTTAAAATTCATCCGCAAAGTATTAAATGATATTAGCAAGTTTGTTACCACGGGTAAATTATAAAAATTATATAATGATAAATTTAAAAAATTTATTTTTCAAATGTAATTATTAAAAAAGAATATAAAAATTTGATAAGTAATACATGTTTTTGAAAAACAAAAATTTATTATTAGTTTATTTAAAGTCATTGTGAGTTTGTATACGCATATATAATATTTAATAATAATGTTATTATTGAAATAAATCAATAAAAATGAGATTCTTGGATTATTCGATGAACGAATTCTTCGGAAATTCGGCTGGAACTCGGTTTAAACTTAACTCGTTTCCGGTTCAGCCCAACCATCAATCAGTTTAAACAGTCTACAAAATTTGCGAAAGATGAACATTTTTTTTATTGGATTATAATCATGTGAAATTGGAACCGGCTAAACTGTTGGTTTGGGAACCTGAACCGGAATCTAAAACCGTTAGCTGTGACATAATTTGAGAATTAAAAATGGGGCGGATTACGATTTCAATTATGATTGATGATTGAAATTATAAATGAATGATTCGAGTAGAGATTTTTTGATGGTATAGTAATGATGGTGATAATGAGAATAAGACAAAAGACCTTTATAAAAAAGGAAGTGAGTGCAAAACAAATATAAGCGTTTGACAGCGGGTTACAAAAAGTGAAATAAAAAAAGGGATAGCGTATAGTAAAATTTGATATTATTCAATTAAATTGTCAGTTAATATTGTTACACCTTTTCTTTACAATAGGCGGTTGTATGCAATGCAAATTTTACATCACGCATTAAACCCATTAAATCTGATTTGAACATTGTCAGCTTTTATCATCATAAATTATCACTGAATATAATTGGATAGTCGACATTACTTTTCTTAAATTCAGCGGATTCAAAAAAAGGCAAAGTCTCGGACCTGTGAAAACCGGTTACAAATCCTTTTTTCTCTAGTAGGCAAATATAATATCCGAAGTTCCGAAATTCCATATCGACATATCGACATGGTTGTCAATGGTAGATGGCGTACTGTTTATTACTTTAATTGGTCTGCCAATGATACCTTGATAACATTTGGCCATTAAAGCTTGTCCGCATTAGAAAAGCACGGTACACCGGAAATTTGTTTCCCTTGACGTCAATAATAACAATGGAGGTCCTGAGTGGATCATCTTTAAATTAGAATGGACGTTGCATATTTCTCGACGGGAAAATTGTTTGGCCATCAACAAATACAATCTTTTGACCGAAAACAGCAGATGGTAACGAGGAAAATTTCTATAAAATCTCCCAACATCTTTTTTCTCCTTAACATCGATTATCAAAAAGAAACGAGTAGAAAATAAAAATCTACATTTCGTCTTCACCAAAAAAGCAATATAAAATCTACATTTCGTCTTCACCAAAAAACCAAAAACGCATTTTAAGAACACAATTTTTTTTTTTAAAAAAAATCGATTGAAAGCAAATATTAATTAGAATCATATACACGAATCAATTATGCACGAAGAAAACTCAGAAACGTCTGACGAATCGGTTACCGTTCACATGGAAGGAGGACCTAATCTGGATCCCGCTCATGAAAAAATTTTAAACGCTCAAGTTCACATCGATCATGTTGAGCCCACATATTCTCAATTATATTCTTTCACCTCCAAGAATGAATATTTGATTATGGGCATCGGTCTTACATTCGCGATTATTTCGGGGGCTGCTATGGTACATTATTTTCGTGTGCTGTCATCATTTTTGCGGATTAACGATTAAGTTCTAACCGATTTCCGAATTTCTTTGATTAGCCTCTGATGACAATTGTTTTCGGACAGATGGTTGACTACTTTACCGATTTTCAATTACGCAAAATTGATCCTGATTATTTTACCGACAGAGTTAATTACTATTCTTTATACTTTATCTATCTCACCATCGTCGCCTTTGTTTCTACTTATGCCTACATCTCTACTTGGACGTACACTGGTGAAAGGTAATCTTTGACGGAATTTTTTTTTGCCGATATTTTATTTAAATACTTATCACGTGATTCTACTGATCAGGATTACGAGAAAAATTCGAGAGCAATATCTTCGAGCAATTCTTCGTCAGAATGTTGCTTACTTTGATAAGCTTGGTGCCGGTGAAGTGACGACTCGCATATCCTCAGATACTCTCTTAATTCAGGACGGTATCAGTGAAAAATTTGCTCTTGCTGTCTCAGTATGTATACAGTACAATTGTCCGTTTTTTCTCACTTGTCAACCTGTAACTTTATTAACAACCATGAAATTTACAATTTCTAGTACGTTGCGCAATTCCTTACCGGCTTCATAATAGCGTTTATCAAAAGTTGGAAATTAACGCTGGTAATTTTTGGTCTCATCCCATTAATGGCCATCACCAGTGGCATAATGAACAAGCTTACTTCCCGTTACACGACGCGTTCTCTGGATTTCTATTCGATTGCTGGCACAATTGCCGAAGAAGCCATCAGCACGGTTAGAACCGCAATGGCATTTGGTACTCAAAAGAAATTATCTAAACATTATGAGGTTCACTTAGAGGATGCTAAAGTCGAAGGAAGGAAGAAAGCCATTGTAAATGGTGTTGCGATAGGTGCTGTCTTCTTCTACATTTACTGTACATATGGGTTGACCTTCTGGTATGGTTCCAAGTTGATCGCTGATGGTTCGTTAACGGCCGGTCAAGTAAGTATTCTCTAAAAATATTTCTACTGTATATCTCTCATTCAACGCCTTACATGATTTAACACTTTCTAATGGATAATTTAGGTCGTCACCATATTCTTTGCAATAATAATAGGTGCTTTCTCACTTGGAAATCTTGCACCAGATATACAAGCCTTTAGTTTCGCTACTAGTGCCGGTTCGAAGATCTTTGAAACTATCAGACGCGTGCCGCCAATCGATGTCGCTTCAGAAGACGGCGAGAAGCCACAAACTGTGAAAGGCCATTTCCGTCTTGAGAACGTCTCCTTCATATATCCTGCTCGACCCGAAGTGCAAACCCTTAAAAACGTCACTTTGGATATTGAGCCCGGTACGACGGTCGCTCTTGTGGGTTCTTCAGGTTCCGGGAAAAGTACAATCATATCGCTCGTTCTACGGTTTTATGACCCCGTAGATGGGCGTGTCTTATTCGATGGTCGTGATATCAAGTCCCTCAACGTCAAGTGGCTTCGAAGACAACTTAGTCTCGTGAGCCAAGAACCTGTACTCTTTAACACCACGATTGCTGAAAATATCGCCTTTGGATTAGTCGGATCTGAATATGAGAATTATCCTGATGATAAGAAGCGTCAATTGATCGAACAAGCATGTGTTATGTCCAACGCTCATGACTTCATAATGAAACTCCCCGATAAATATGAAACAGTTGTTGGCGAGCGCGGTTTCCTGTTATCCGGTGGACAAAAACAGCGTATCGCCATTGCCCGTGCCATCGTCAAAGATCCCAAGATCTTGCTACTTGATGAAGCCACTAGTGCTCTCGATTCACAGAGCGAAGGTATTGTACAAGATGCGTTAGACAAGGCATCTAAGAATAGGACAACAATCGTCATAGCCCACAGATTGTCTACCATTCGTCATGCGACCAAGATTGTCGTGATGAATCAAGGTGTCATCGTGGAAATTGGTAATCACGAGGAACTTATGGAAAAGCAGGGTTACTACTCAAAACTTGTTGAAGCTCAACAAATCCATCTCATTAAGGAATCCCAAGCATTGGATTCTCCATCCATTCCACCCGAAGATTCGGATATTTTGTTAGCCACAAAGAACAGGGAAGAGGAACTTCGGCTGATCAGACGTGTTACCACCAATAGATCTGTTTCGTCCGCGGTTCTAGAAGGGCGAAAAGCTGACCTTGAATCGGCCACAAAACATGACTATGAATACACCACCTGGGAGTTATTTAAGAAAGTGATGAAAATCAACAGACCAGAAGCACCAATCATGTTCGTGGGTCTTATTGCCGCAATCATTTGTGGTTTGGTGTACCCGGCGTATGCACTCGTTTTTGCGAATATTCTACAATCCTTTGGTAAACCGGTAGATCAAATGAGACATGACATTAACCTTTGGTCCCTTATGTTTGTCATAATTGCTGTGGTCGTTTTGGTTGGCAACGTCGTTCAAGGCATCTCTTTCGGATTCTCTGGTGAGAATCTGATTCAACGAATCCGTTCCATGTCTTTTGCTTCCATGTTACGACAAGACGTCGCGTTCTTTGACGAGGAAGAAAATAGTGTCGGTGCTTTGACTAGTTCTCTCTCACTAGACGCCACTCACGTGAATGGATTGGCCGGGGTTACTATGGGCACTCTTTTACAAGTAATCACCACAATTGTGGCCAATGTAATCGTTGGGCTTATCGTTGGGTGGAAACTCACCTTAGTCTGTTTGTGCTGTATTCCCCTGATGGTCGGTTCTGGTTATATACACATGAAAATGCAAAACGGTTTCCAAGAGAAAACCAAAAAAGCCTACGAGGAATCTTCACAAATCGCCTGCGAAGGTGCCAATAACATTAGAACGGTGGCCGCTCTTACACGTGAAGAAAACTTGTGGGAAATTTATCACCACAAACTCGATAAACCCATGAAGGATGGTTTCAACAATGCCTTCTATTCTTCAATCGCTTTCGCTTTCGCACAATCGATCCTATTCTTGACGATTGCTCTAGCGTTCTGGTATGGTAGCAGACTATTTAGAGACGGGGACTATGATCTCAAGAAAATGTTTACCGTCTTCATAGCTTTGGTCTTTGGTTCTATGTCCGCCGGTCGCGTATTTTCATATGCCCCAGATATAGCCAAAGCTAGAACTTCAGCTGCTTCTATCATCTCCTTGATCGAAAGGAATCCGATAATTGACACATGGTCGCAATCTGGTAAACAGGTTAAAGAAATTAACGGACACATTCAATTTCATGACGTCCATTTCCGTTATCCCACTCGGCCACATGTTCCAGTTCTCCGAGGTCTTAATATAGAAGTTAAGCCTGGTCAATTTGCCGCCCTGGTCGGTCCATCGGGGTGTGGTAAGAGTACTAGCATCGGTCTCATTGAACGATTCTACGATCTTACTAGCGGAAAGGTGACCATTGATGGTATAGAGGTCTCTGAAATAAATGTCAATAGTCTTCGTGAACACATCTCCTTGGTTAGTCAGGAACCCTCACTATACGATATGACCATTCGAGAGAATGTTGTGTTTGGTTGCCGACCTGGACAAAATCCTACGCAAGAAGAAATTGAACGCGCATGTCGTGAAGCCAACATACATGATTTCATCGTAGGATTGCCGAATGGATATGATACTCACGTTGGCGGAAAGGGTGCACAACTTTCAGGTGGTCAAAAACAGAGAATTGCCATCGCTCGTGCGTTAATACGGAACCCCAAGATTTTATTACTTGACGAGGCAACTTCAGCCTTGGATTCGGCATCTGAAAAAGTTGTCCAGAAAGCGTTAGACAAGGCCGCATTGGGTAGAACTGTACGTGTTTTGTATCGTTTTTCTTTTTAGCAGCGATATTGTAATATTTGGAATTTACTAACACATTGCATTTAATTTTTTTTTTCCTTAACAGACACTTGCTATCGCACATCGGCTGTCAACCATTCAAAATGCTGACATCATTTATGTGATTAAAGATGGAAGGGTAACGGAAAAGGGAACACATCTTGAGTTATTATCTAAGAAAGGAATATATTATAACATGGTGCAAGAGCAGGATTTGAGATCACATTAAAAGCACAAATCTGACACAATCATAGGACAATCAAAAACGCAAAAAAAACACTAAAGACTGAGTACTCGTAATTTTACGTTTCAAAAAGTCGAAGCATTTTAATATTTATTTTTCCATTCTATATAATCTATCGAATAGTTACGTTGTAATGTAGAATTTATGCATATTTTTTGTATTATAGTCAACTATTAATAATTTTCTAGAAAAAAATTGAAGAAAACATTTTTTTATCCTTTTAATGAATAAAATTTACAATTGAATTTGCCTCAGCAAACGACCTTAAGGTACAATGCAAGAGATCTCGTTCATAATCAACCAGTAAATGAAAAAAAAATACTTGTCACAAATTCGATCGCTTGTAATTATCGAAGATATCTTTAATAAAAAATTAGGTCGAAACCTCCTTTTTCGATTTGCCGAAATTTACAACCAATACCATACAAACTTTCCGAAATTCCGATAAAACATTCACGTCTATAGATCAGCAATGTCTGATTATTTGCAGATTTATGCAGACATCCGGACTGAGTCCGATCCCATTTTCTTCAGGTCTTTTTTAATAAAGAAAATTATCCTTACGGGAATATTGGGAGCCTTGCATACAACGATCCCCAACACACAAAATCATTTATCCTTTTATGAAGAGTTCATTTCTTTAAGTATTACAGTACCTACGTCTTGTAAAAATACGGTTACTTGCAGGCATCTACTGTTTGCACACATGATAATTTCTGCGGTGTTATTTATTTTGCTTACATAAATGTTGAAATCAACAACAATGAATTTGCTAAAAGCGCTGCCATGGTGCATTGCGATTAATAATTTCATTTATTATAAAGTACATTGAACATGATTTACGATTACATGCCGAATGTATGAAATGAGTTTATTCCAACACAAAGGAAATGGTATAATTAAGTTTAAAGGAATCTAACTTTAGCCGGAGAACAAATAGCTTTCCGTTAGTTGTAACGTATTCAATGAATGCCTAATTACGCAAATGTGATCGTGTGGATACGTTTTCAACTCTTTCTTATTTTACACGTACTAACGTTCTGTAGCACAGATGGGAAAAATCAAAACTCATTGATAAAACAATACAATTAAAATTGATTAAATGTTCATTAAGCGATTGATTAATATTAAATTGTATTCTATTTTAATAACTTGCTGTTGCAAATGAAATCTAGTAGCACGACATAGTTGTAGGAAGTATAATATGGTAAAAGAATATCCAAGACAAGAATATTGAAAATATTCAAGACATTAAAATAAGCAATCAATATATTGCATACAATAATAATTACTTTAAGTATATAATTCACTTGATTTCAAAATATAATGCTATTATTATTATTATTTAATTTAAAGCAAATATTCATTGTTGTTTAATATTATTTAATATTTTATATTGTTTAGATTTCTTAAAATACGTATATACTGTATATACAGTGGCTTGAAAAAAAAATCGGAAACAAATTTTTTATAATCATTTAATAATTATTGTTTTAAATAAAATAACAACAACTTTTAAAAAATATTTTTTTTATAATATAATAAATTATTTATTCGAATTTGTTTAATAAACTATTAAATAATTTTGGTTTAAAATAATGATTTGAGATTTATAAATTGTATAAAAAATCAATAAAAAATTCTTTAAATATACAATAAAATTATATATATATATTTTTATTTTTTATTTTACAAATTTTATTTAAAAAAATTTTTTATAATAAAAAAATCATAAGAAAACTGGTTTGTATTTTATTTGTTTTTTATTTAACAAAATTTATATATTGGAAATAATTTTAATAAAATTTAATAATATATTTAAAAAAATTTTTATTTTGTTTAATTTTATTTTGTTAAATTACAATAATTATTTAATTATAAGAAAAAAAATTTTAAAAAATTTAATTTTTTTAAAATTATATTTATTTTTTGGGAAAAAAGTTTTTCTATAGATAAACATTATTTTTTTATTTGATATTGTATATAACAAGATTTCCGTAAAACCATCAGTTTCTAAAAAATTGCCTTTTTTGGTAATTTTAAGAACACCTTTTTACAAACAATTCTCTTGCACAAGAAACCCATAAACAACTCAAGAAACCTTAACTAAAAGAACAGAACAACTACCCAGGAAGGTAAATTTACCTCGTAGAGCAACTTTACTACTAACAACTTTGCTTGATTCCTTTTTCTTCAAAGAAATAAACTTTTAAGAGAAAGGGAAAAGCACAAGTTTTAC